GCTAATAAAGACTTAAGTGCCTGTAAACCAGGTTTAGGCTGAGATCTCTGGATTTATTTATTTTTAAAGATTTTATTGGGGAATTGGGGGAGGGGAACAGACAAGTTGCTGTCTTTTTGTTCTTCAGTCTAGTTGTGGAGGATGTCACTTCACTGGCCCGTGTTGGCATTATCATTGTGCTCTTCCCAGGTAAGGAAGTCGTTCGCCGGCCATTGGATGGCTGCTCACAGTGGCTCACGATAACTCAAGGCAGCCCCACTGCAGCCTACACTGTTGTCGGTGACTCACGGCAGCCCAGCTGCAAGTCGAGCTGTTGTTCACCATCTTAGCTATAGAGGGCGCAGCATCACTGGCCCTCATGTGGGATCCGAACTTGGGCCCTGCTGCTCAGAGCTGGCAGCCCAAGCCAGCTCTTAACCAACGCGCCACTCGGCTGGCCCTCTGGATTTACTTTTTGAGCTAGGTTGTGTCCCAGGATGAAAACTGGGAGCAGTCCCTTGAGGCCCTACAGATTTGTCTGAGGTCATGTATAAGCCTAAATAAAAAGAATGCCAACAATATCTAGAAAATGAAAGCTTAGGAACGACAACCCTCCCCATGTTTGAATTTCAGGTGGTCAAATATGCAGACCCAGAAACTCAGCTCACAGTCAAGGATTCTCTGTTCTGTCATAAGTCTTATGTCTGCAAACAGCAGATCCTATCAGAGCAGTTGCAAGGGCCCTGCTTGCTCCAAACCCCAATGTCCATGATCCTGCACTGTCCACGGCAGTGGTTAAAAGCTTAGGTCCCTCAGTCAGACTACCCAGGTTCTAAATCCTCTGCCATTTATCAGCTGTGGAAACTATTAAAGCTCTCTGGGTCTCAATTTTCTCATCGACAAAATCACAACTACTGTCCTTGCTTCATTGGATGACTGTGAGAGTCAACCAAAAATCAGGCATGTAAAGTGCTTAACACAAAGTCTGGCCATAATAGCTATCCAATAGATAGTAGCTATGATTGCTTTTTCCCTCTAAGTGGGTGTTGGGTTTTTAAAATCCACCCTTGCGTATCAGATGTATATATGGGGGTAAAAAATCACCATCTAGTCCATAGATTTCAAAATGGCTAGACAGGCTTATAACAGAAACTAAAGGAGAAATAAACATGACAGGAAGACTGTGGGTTTTGAGGTCAAAAAGGCTGCACTGCCGAGTGGTCCTGGGACATCACTTCTGCATGCAGTAGCTAGAAGTGTCTTGGATTACTGTCTGCTGGAGAGCATGTGAGCATTTTGTGGTTGTCTGCATGACAGTTAAATTATGTCAGGCTGTGGAATTATGTGAGAGTGGAAGAAGGGGGTGTACCTCCCCACAAGGGGTAGAATGAACTAAAAGAGTCAGTCCTGTTGGCCAACAGGATAAGAAAACGTGTCACTCTCAGTGTCTACAGAAGAGGTGGCCACCATGTTTAAACCATAAGCAATCCCAGGACCCAACTGTGGGAGCCAAACAAATCTGGAACAATCAGACTTCAAAACTCGGGTACAAACCCTTTCTACGAGTGCATTGGTATGCCAGGGGTAGCAGGAGTTCAGAGAAGGAGGAAGTTAAATTAATTAACTTGTACATAATTTAAAACATTCGTTTTTTAATATTAACCCTAGCATACAGATATGCTATGAAATAGAATGGGGGGGGAAATCACATAAAGTTTTAAAACACGCTTCAAGGGGCACCCTCTAATCTCAACCCCACATCCTAGGGGAGGTTGGTTGCAACCTTTTGAATTAGAGGACTTTCAAGGGAAAGTGTGAAAAGCACCAGAGTGGTAGAACAGATACACAGGTAGACATTGCCAGATCTGGGTTTAACCTGCAGGGCCCTGACACCTGTTTTGTTATTTTGAGCTTCCTCTTCAGGTAAATGGGGATGCTCCTCATAATCTCAACCTCAGACTTGATGAGGGGCTCAAAGCAAATACTATGTGGCAAAGTGCTGTGCAACTATTTCTTAGGATTATTAGATGATTGCTACGGGACTATTATTTATTAAGGTCAACAGAAGCCTGCCTTCGGACATTCGCCAGCTGCAGCTAACCTGCTAGAGTTGTGAAAGGGGATTCAAGGCAGAAAAAGTATCGGCCAGTGTGTACAAGGCTGAGTGGCACACACTCATTGCACAAGCATCCCGCAAATTAATCCCCAGCAAGAGAGGCTGAAGGGGAGGGCATCTGCGACATGAGGTAAGTGCACCAAGAAACGAGAACACAGCCCAGTCAGTCCTGTCACTTTGCTGCCCATGGTTGACTGATGATGGAAAGTCAGAGAGAGCCATCTAGTAGGAGAGGGAGAAGGCAAGCAATGCTAGCTGCCTGTGACTCGCTGCCTGTGGCTTACTGTTCACACTGCTGTGTCTGCTCTGAGGGAATCGCTGTTGGAATCTATTGAGGGCCCTCTGGAGTGTTACAAGTCCGTCTCCTGTTTTAGGGACCTGGAATTCAGCCTGCCTTTTCCAAAACACATTGAAAACCTGGAAATAAAACACAGAACCAATGCTATCCAAATAACATCATTGTTCTGAGTGACAACTGGGGGCACACTGATCCCATGACCCCAGGAAATGGGGTTGCAACCTGCTATTGTCCTTTCAGTGGCAAAATCAGTGGCACCCAGCACAGAGCGTGGCTTACACTAGCAGACATCAAACAGATATTTGTTGAATTAAGTATCTTATCTGCCTATTTAATAGGTTAGAAAATTGTCAGCTTTTTCATCAAAACTACCACCTTTTTCTTTTCATTCAAACCCGTCTTGAAATTCAATTCCATTAAGGCTTTTTAATACATACGAGCAGCAAGGAATTTACTTAAAAGGGGGGGGGGAGCAAAACTCTAAGCTCCCACCTGTGCAGCCATGACATGCTATTGTTTGAAGCAAAGTATATTATTTAACTTGGATGACAAGCTCAGGGGGTACAGACCCTGTCTTTGAGAACACACAGCTCTGAGCACACCGGGAGTTCTCGATAAATAACAGCAGCAAGAAAGGCGGTGGAGGGACTTCTTTTAATTATTTCTTTTTCCATTTCCAGATTTTTGGCAGCATGCGTTTATCCCTTGCTTGATTTCCAAGGGGCAGCTCTCTCCCAGAAGCTCCCGTGAAGATTATAAACAGCTTTCCGACTGCCCCTGCCCTTCCTCATCCTAGCACAAGTAGGAACACCTGATTGAGCCAAAACATGGATTTTGAGTGTATTCAGGATGCCTGCTGGGTTTGGAAGGGAACTCAGTCCTCCAGGACCCAACGAGTAGAGAGAGGCAGTCAAGAGAAATGTTTTGGCTCCACACATCTACACAGCTGTCAGATGGCAAAGCTTGGACTTCTAGCGTTATTACCTGCTGTGGGCCTCTGAGCTGTCTTGTCATTAACCCCAGAGACCAACTATGCCTAAAGCTTGACACAAAGTCACATTTGGGGGGTATTTTCAAGTCTTTCAACAGAGAAGTAGAAGGTGATGATTTTTGCCAAACTTGAACTATTAGATTATAAAGATCTAATAAAACAGATATTACATATTAAATTATATGTCCATAGCAAGATGAAGTCATTTAGGACATGTTACGTGTCATTTACACTTGAAAAAAAATTATACCACTAACTAAAGGAAGGCATTATGTGTGTTTCCCAGCGCACAAGTGATAGGCAAGAAAAAAGAAGCAAATGACCATTCTAAGGAAGGAGCCTTGCAAAGGACCTCAGTTTTTTTCTCCCTAAATAATATAGCTAGTATTTGGTAAGATGGGCTTTGCAGAGAAAGAGGTGGGTGGGGTGGGAGTGTCTTTCTGTACACATATTAATATACCTTACAGCCAGTGCTCCCCTGTATGCTTACACAATTGTGTCAACACAACATATTCTGCAACTGGAGACTTCTTCCCTTCCTCTCTGACGCATTTTATACCAAAACAATGGCAGCACCTGTAGCTGTTAATTTCTGCTCTTTGATTTCTGTCCAGTTCTAAAGGAGGCTCTCAGCAGGGTCCCCTCTGAGGAGCCATATGTGGAGTTCATGTGCCAGCAGCCTTGGAAGGAAAGCGGCCTCAGAGAAGCGCACAATGGCTCCATAATCCCCATCCACTGGACCCTCTTGAACCGCCGCTTTATTTTCCAGTCAAAGAAACGCCAATCTCAAGAGTCAAGCTGTGGCTGCCCTAGGAACCCAAGGGAAACCTGTGCTGTTTGCCTGGTGTGTACAACACAAGGGTGGTGCCTCTGAGCCCCACGATTTAATCAGGCAACCTGGAGCCCAGAAACTGCCTGTAGCATCCCAACACTTTCTCTCGCTCTCCCCTCCAGGGTGAGGCTTTTACCCACTCAGCCTCCCCGCCCAGCTGGAGACCACAGCCCCGCCCCCTTGCACTGGGTCGCGCTGAGGGTTCTGTCCCACCCCACAGGAGCTTCTTTTCCCAGGCTGGCTCTGCCCCACGTTCAGCAGACTACCAACTCTTCAGACCACATCACATGTGTTGCCGTGGTGGGGGTTCATAAAGCCTGGGGTGTGGCAGCAAGTCCTTTAGGTTCAATGGCTTCTCGGCCAAGGGCACTGTGTTTGGTAACCATGTTGAGGAAAGGGGTCAAAGCCTCAAGCCTGCTAAGACCACACACCTGGGGAAGCGAGTAGGGAAGGGAGGGGGTGGGGCTGCGTGGGGAGGCTCAGTCCCAAACAAGCGTCCACGTTTGGACAGAAAAGGATGGCCCTGGGATGCAGTCACTAGAGTTTTCAGCCTAACTCCTACCCTCTCCAACCTCCCTTTTTACACTCCCTTTGGGGATCTCTGGCCGGGCTTTCGAGTCTCCGAGGAGGCCTCGGAGACAGTGTGAGAATGGCCGTCGGTTGGCCACCTGTCTGTGTGAATTTTGGACCTAGTAAATGTCAACCCGGTCCTCCCCACCGTTCTGCCTCGGCAGCGGATGCCCAGCGGGAGCGCTCCCGGCAGCGTCCCGAGGGCAAGACTTACACAGTTGTACTGGGTCGGTTCAAAGTCCCAATTGCAGCTCTTGGCGCGCGCCTGGATCTCACTCATCCTGAAAAGGCAGAGTGCCGTGGTGGCGGGGGACCGCTTCCCTTGGCCCTCCTCGGTGGCCGCGCTGAACACGCCCGCCCAGACGTCCAGGTCCTCCACCAGGCTGGAGGAGAGGAGCAGGTGGCGGCCGTGGCCGCAGGCGAGGGCCGCTTGACCCTGAAACTGCACCACCCGGCTCTGCGCGATGCGCGCCATGCTGGGCAGGTCGGTGGCGACGCCGCTAGTGTAGTTGTAGCGATAGTAAGGGAAGTAGACGCTGCCGTTCCAGAGAAAGGCGTCCACGAAGTGCAGGCTGCCCGCGCCCCCTCTCAGGTTGAGGCGGCCCAGTTCCTCCGTGGCCAGGCTGCGCAACTCTGTATTCTTGATCGAGATGGCCGTGTGGCGGTCGGACGCCGCCGGGTTGCAGCGGCTCGCCGTCTCGGGCTCCGGCAGTACGTAGGTGGCAGCCACCGCCAGGTACCAGCGGTTCTCCTTGCCCCAGCGGTACACCACGCCGGCCGTCGAGCCTTGCGGGTGACACGACACCACCTCGGTGCCGTTGCGCAGGAAGCTGAGGCTCAGGTTGCCCAGGGGCCGCACCTCACAGGCGCCCCGGTCGAAGGTCCAGCCGGTGAGCAGCAGCCCCCCGAGGCCGTCCGCCCCCTCGCGGTAGGGCAGCAGCAGCTTGCTAAAGCTGCTCCCCGGCCGGGGCCGCGCAGGGGACACCAGCGAGACTGGCTCTGTGCAGTTGCCCGCTTGGTCCCGGTACAGGCGCGAGAGCCTGTGCTCCAGGCTATAGTCCAGCTGGTCCAGGCAGCTGCCGCTTGCCACGAACACGCCGTCCGCCCGGCTCGCCGCGATGGCTCCGATGGCTTGCTCCGACCGCCACACAGGCTCGTCCGCGCCCCGGCCGGGCGCCGCCAGCGCCAGCAGATAGGCGAGCAAGGGCAGCGGTGCGGCGGGGCGCTGGGGGCGCGGCGGTGCCTTCCTCCGGGAGACCTCCATGGGGCTGGGGGAGTCGCCCCCGGGCAGGGTGCGCGACGGCGACGGCGAGTCAGGCGCGCGGCGACGGAGACACGGGCGGCGGCGGCTCCTGCGCGCGCTCCGGCTCCCGCGGCCGCCCCATCCCCGCTGCTCGCCTGGGAAGGAGAGCGGGGAGGGCGGCGCGCGGCGGGCTCGCTCCGGCAGGCTGCGCAGCGGCGGCGGCAAGCCCTGCGCGCTCCGGTGCCGTTTCCTCCTCGCCCTCCTTCTCCGGAGAGTTCCTCTGTGCAACGCTGGCCCTCGCGGGGAGGCGCGGGGCGG